TTTTACATCAGGATGACAACATATATGTGTTTATTTGAAATTCTCCCTTAAATGTATACAGAAATAGTTATTTTTCTTAGAATTGTTTTCAGATATTTACCATATTTCAAAATGCACAGTACATAAGCTAAACCATAGAGACTTTTTATAGAAAAAATGTTACTATGTGTTAGGTATTACAAAAGGTATAGGCTCTGGTTATAAAGCAGCAGGGCACTGAGAGAACTATTATGTTTTCTTTAGATTACTTCAAACAGAGGATATGAATTATAGAAAGTAAGACTTCAAGAAGAGTTTTGACTTTCAGAAGTTTGTAAAATGCCAGTATTCTAAATTTCATCCACTGAATTCCTTAGGACAATCTGATTTAGTACACAATATCTGTCACTTATCTATCCATTTGGCAAAGACTTCATAGAGACAAATGTGACAGAGGCTCAAAAATGGAGACTACTAGAAAAATGACCAAAGCCAGAAATAAAGTTGTGCTAATTAGAAAACAAATAATTAAATGGCCCAACCCGAATGTGTGATGCTGAAAAGAGATAAATTTCTAAGGCACACCATCTGTTTTACAGTTTATTTTGCTGTACTACAAATCTACTCAACATAGTTTTGCAGTGATCTAGCTGCTAACTCATTTGCACAATTACTTTAGGCCAGAAATAATTATTGCACAGAATCCTTTGAGAGAGCAACACATTGATTGAAAAGGGCAAATATAATTCATTCTTGGGTGAAGACTATTTTTTAGCCATTAAAGATAAAAAATGTTATTCAAAGAAATTTGAAATTGCCAAAGGAAAATTAGAAAATTAGGAGAGAGATCCAAGATGGCTGATTACTAGCAGCTCAGGATTGTAGCTCCTAGTGAAAGCACAGAGTACGAGAGGATGCCACACTTTCAGACGAATTTTTGTTGCTCATGGACCAGGAGATTCCCAGCGGAGGAGCCCCATGGGTCGCCAACGTGACTCTTGTTGGCCGGCACAGTGGTTCTTGGTGCAGAGTAAACAGGACTGGGTCCCCTTTTGGTCGACATTTGGAGCTCCCGGAAGGCAGAGTCACCTATTCAGCTGATTGAAAAAGGGACTCAAGAAGGAAGCCAGACTGGAGATTCCCAGGCAGAAAAGCACCACGAATCTTAACGCCATGTTTTAGCCAGCGCAGTGAGTTGCTCAGATTCCAGCACTGGGAATCAAGTTTGACGTCCACTCAGAGACCTAATTTGAAAGTCGGTAATTACAAAGACGACAGGTGGATACATTTACAATGATGGGAAGAAACCAGCGTAAAAAGGCTGAGAATACCCAAGATCAGAATGCCTCTCCCTCTACAGGGGATCACAGTTCCTCATCAACAAGGGAACAAGGACTGATGGAGACCGAGTGCATTCCATTAACAGATTTAGGCTTCAGAAGGTGGATAATAAGAAACTTCTGTGAGTTAAAAGAACATGTTCTAGCCCAACGTAAAGAAACTAAGAACCTCGAAAAAAGGTTTGACAAAATCCTAATGAGAATAGACAATCTAGAGAGGAATATAAGTGAATTAATGGAACTGAAGAATACAATATGAGAACTCCGTGAAGTATGCACAGGTTTTAACAGTTGAATTGATCAAGCAGAAGAAAGGGTATCAGAGGTCGAAGACCAACTTAATGAAATGAAACGAGAAGACAAGATTAGAGAAGAAAGAGTAAAAAGGAATGAGCAAAGTCTCCAAGAAATATGGGACTATGTGAAAAGACCTAATTTATGTTTGATAGGTATATTCTCTTCTGAATGTCATGAAGAGAATAAATCCAAGCTGGAAAATATTCTTCAGGATATTATTCAGGAAAACTTTCCTAACCTAGTAAGGCAGCACAATACTCAACTCCAGGTAATACAGAGAACACCACAAAGATATTCCTCAAGTAGGGTCACCCCAAGACACATAATCATTAGATTCACCAGGGTTAAAATAAAGGAGAAAATTCTAAGGGCAGCTAGAGAGAAAGGTCAGGTTACCCATAAAGGGAAACCTATCAGACTCACAGCAGATCTCTCAGCTGAAACCCTACAAACTAGAAGAGAGTGGGGGTCAATATTCAATATCCTCAAAGAAAAGAATTTCCAACCCAGAATCTCATATCCAGCCAAATTAAGCTTCACAAATGAAGGAAAAATAAAATATTTCACGAACAAGCAGGCACTCAGAGATTTCATCACCACCAGGCCTGCTTTACAAGAGCTTCTGAAAGAAGCACTATACACAGAAAGGAACAACCAGTATCAGTCATCCTAAAAGCTTACCAAAAGGTAAAGAGTATCTCCATTATGAAGAATCTATATCAACTAATGGGCAAAATAGCCAGCTAGCATTAAATGACAATATTAAACTCACAAATATCAATATTAATCATAAATTTAAATGGATTAAATGCCCCAATCAAAGACAGACAGGCAAATTGAATAAAAAGTCAAAACCCATCAGTTCACTGTATCCAGATCCATCTCATAAGCAAGGACACACAAAGACTCAAAACGAAGGGTTGGTGGAAGACTTACCAATCAAATGGAGAGAAAAAAAAAACACAGGAGTTGTAACTTTGGTCTCTGACAAAATAGACTTTAATAGTAACAAAGACTAATGCAACAACAGGAGTCAATGATCATAAATATATATGCACCCAATATAGGAACACCCAGATATATAAGACAAATTTTTAATGACTTATAAAGAGACTTGGACTCTCGCACAATAATAGCAGGAGACTTTGACACCACATTGTTAATATTTGAAGGATCAACAAGATAGAAAATTAACAGGGACATCTATGATTTGAACTCAGACCTGGAACAAGTAAACTCAGTGAATATTTATAGAATTCTTCACGCCAGGTCCACAGAACATACATTTTTCTCAGTATCACGTTATACCTATTTTGAAAGTGACCACATAATTGGAAGCAAATCACTCTTCAGCATACGCATAGCATTTCACAGCCTTAAATGAAATATTGGTTGGCTGTTTGTCATTTTCTTCCCTTATTCCTTCCTGTCTCCGCTGTTAAGCACAATTGTCGGCATAAAAGAGGTTTTTAATACCTATTTTTAGATTGCATTCCAGCCCGGGCAATAGAGCAAGACTCCTGTTCTCTCTCCCCCTTTCTCTTTCTTTCAAAAAAAAAAAAGAAAAGAAAATTAGTGAGTGACATCACTATATATATATGTATCTAAACTTCTCTGAGGTTCTTAATGTTTTAATACCTAAAGACATGTTGCTGGGGCCTCTTCTCTGTCTTTTCTTCCTTCAGCCCAATGGCTTTATGTGGTGTTTGTATATTCAATGATTCTCAAATTTGTATCTCCATCTTAAACCTTTCCAGTCTCAAACTCATATATTCAATTATCTGTTTGACATCACCACTTGGATGCCACATAAGCATTGCAAACTGATCCTATCTAACATAGAGTTCTTGATTCACCATCCCTGCCCCAGAAAGAAATCGATTTCTCCTACAGTCTTCCATATCTCAGTAAATAGCACTACCATCCAACCAGTTGCTAGAATAAAATCTAGATGTCATCCTTATTTCCTTTTTTATCCTCATTTCTCATGCAATCCATCATCAAGTCCTATCAATTATACCTCTAAAATATGTCTGATATTTTTCTCTTCATCTCTGTTGCTACCACCCTATCCAAGTCACTATCATCTCCCAACCGTTCAACTTCGATATCTATTTAATTCCTTATTTCCAAGTCACTCCCTCCCCCAAAGATCAGAGTGATCTTTTAAGAATATTATCATATGCTAATTTATATTTCAAATATAATTATATAATGTATCCCCAGTACCTAACATGGTGTCTAGTAAATAATAGATCTACAATTTTTAATAGATGAATACTCCCTAGTAACATCCCCATATATCTCTAATAATTTCTAATCTCATTTCTCAGAAAATTTTCTGAGATACCTACAGACCTATTCACTTACTGAATCATTCACTCATTCAGCAATTGTTTGAATATTGTATTAATTGAAATTAGGTCCAGCTGTACACTATAGGGTATCTTAACGATGACAGAAATCTGTTTCCGGTTCACATAAAAAATTCTGGAGGTAGGCAGTGAAGGGCTGACATGGTAGCTCTGGGAGCTACCTTGTGGTTCCTTGCATTTTGTTGCTCTGCCATCTCCAGATTCTACTTTATGATCTAATAGGCTACTGAAACTCACAACTGCATCTAGTAGGAAAGAGGAAGGATGTGAGAAATTCCATACCCTCTCCATTTAAGGACACTTCCCAGAAATTGCACCCACTCCTACTTGTATCTCACTGACCATCACGATAAGTAGCAAAGACTGGGAAATAGTCTTTTAACTGGACAGCAATGTTTCCAGCTAGAAGTCAGGATCATTATTAGAGAAGGAGAAGAATAAATACTGAGGGATAAGCAGTAGCCTTTTCCAAAGCTCCTCTTGTGACCAGGTAATGTTTGGGTGCAGGCATGCAAAAATCAGTAAGAAACAGGTCTGTGCTTGAAGCACTTAGTCTAATGGCAGAAAGCAATTGTAAATAAACAAAATTCCAAACCAGAAGACTGCCACTGTTTGGAGATCTTGGCTTTTCTGAGTCCCCAAAGATTTTCTACATCCCAAGCAGTGAAAGAGAGGTGAGTGGTTCCAGTGTTTTACATCACTGAACTATATAGACTGTCTCGATTTTCCACAGTTATAATATTGGACATTTTTCAGCTCTGTTCTATTGGACATGATACTTTCATGACACTGAGCAAAGACCATTTAAACCTCTATAAATATATAAACAACTGTGACAACAGTTTGAAAATGCCCATTTTCAGAAATCCGTCAAGACTCAATTTTTTTTAATTTGACAGAAAATCAAACTAATTGGCTGTTTTAAGACTATTCAGAAAACTCCAAAGCAAAAAGAAATGAGCAATGGTAGCAGGTCAGAAAGAAAGAAAAAAGTAATATTGTGACTTACTGTTAACCACTGGTTATCTAGTAGTTCCTTAGCTGTGATTCTGTGAGCAGGATCTACTTTCATAAGTTGTTTCAAAACCCTTTTAGCTAAAAATAAGGAAAAATCCTGAAAAAATCTTATTTATTTTAACTACAATTAATAGCTTACATTTTACAATCTTTTAGGATTAGGTGTGTATAACAGGAAAGAAAGATGCCAAGTATACACTAAATATCATCAGTATAAAATGCCTAATAAATATAGTTTAAAGCCTAAAGTGAAGTTTTATTGCCTGGATTACCTAGTTTAATGGTCTATAGTAAACATTAGCTAGAGGATTAGCAAATTTCCTCTTTAATTTTTACTGTTTTCTGTTTTTGAAAGTTTTGATGATGAACAATCACAGTGAAGATATTGCTATTTACACAAGTAAATTTAATGACTAGACAGAGATTTAAAATATTTTAACCACTGGCCAACTTTCTTATAATAGCTTTAGTAAATAATAACACACCTATACTTACCGCAATCACTTATAAAATTCCAGACTGGATTTTCAAAATGTAGTTCCCCTTTTCTTATTAATTCAAAAAGCTTCTCTTCTGAGCTTGCCAAAAAGGGTGGTTCTCCACATAATCTGCAACAAAGGCAATCACTTTGTTTAAATTTTTTTAAATAATAAAAATATGGCTATTAAAATTAAGTTTCTATAGGACTTGGAAGTAGTGTTGCTTCATATTTAAGGAAAGGGTGGGAAGAGATGGGTAACCCCCTGAAGTAAAAATGGAAGCAACAGGATCAGTGCTAGGCTCTTATTTCAACATTGAAAGAAAGGATCTGGTAGAAGAAGTATGCATGTATACATTAAAACCTCCAGATTTGCAAATGACCCAAAGCTCTTCCAGGTGGGGAAACACCAAGCTTAAATGAGGTTAAAATACAGGAAGGTGAGTGTAAGTATACAATAATAGTGGTAGCTAATGGAGGAGATACACTCTAGAGGGAGCAACAGGAAGGTAATACCTTAAGGTGCATATTACAAATTGACTCAACTGAAAAATAAAATGAGTTATCAGTCTAATTAGTTACCAGAGACTAATGACCACCAAAGGCTTTTATCCATGGTAAAATACTATACAAATGTTAATATTAATAAAAATAAACCAAGACTAACCCTGGATTTTTTTTTTTTATTTTTGAGACAGTCTCACTCTGTCTCCCAGGCTGAAACCTCTGCCTTCCAGGTTCAAGTCATTCTCTTGCCTCAGCCTCCCAAGTAGCAGGGATTATAGGCATGCACCATCACACCTGGCTAATTTTTGTATTTTTCATAGAGATGGGGTTTCACCATGTTGGCCAGGTTGGTCTTGAACTTCTGTCTCAAGTGATCTGCCTGCCTTGGCCTCCTAAAGTGCTGGGATTACAGGTGTGTGCCAGTGCACCCAGCCCTAACCCTGGGAATTTCTATAGGATCTGAGTCAAAGCCAAAAAGCCATTCAAATGGACATGAGTCTTCAAAAACTGTACATGAAATGAAAAAGGTCTGAATGCAGAAAAAGCAGATAATAATTTGACCCTTAGGCCTGAAAGGGTAAAAGCTGAGTATACATAATGACCAACATCAGTAAAACCATGAGCAGTGTATGTAAAGTAAACATGGGCTTTCATATTCTGTAATACAGAAACAATGTACCGTTAGACTCTAAACAGAACATGGTAAGCCTATAAAGCTATTACTTCAATAAGTGATCTAGGTCAAAACTACAAGAACATGCTTAAAAGCTGAGTTCAATTCTTCATAATACAATATCAACAAATGTCAGCCATCCTCATTACTGTCAACTCCAACATCTGAGGTCAATCCAGTAGATAACAATGAGATTTGCCCAATGACAACCAGACAGATGAAATTAGATCAGTCGCAGGGACAACTCTGTCTGTTCTTCAACTCTCAGTATTATATATTTATACTTCATTGATGAAAGAATAAAATGGCATAATTTCATAATACTTCCCAAACTGCCAGTCTATACTGTACATAAGTATAATAATCTCTACATCTTTTAACAGTTACATTTTTGCTAATTTTCTTTCTTTTTTTTTTTTTTGAGATGGAGTTTTGCTCTTGTTACCCAGGCTGGAGTACAATGGCACGATCTCGGCTCACTGCAACCTCCACCTCCTGGGTTCAGGCAATTCTCCTGCCTCAGCCTCCCGAGTAGCTGGGATTACAGGCATGCACCACTGTGCCCAGCTAATTTTTTGTATTTTTAGTAGAGACGGGGTTTCACCATGTTGACCAGGATGGTCTCGATCTCTTGACGTTGTGACCCACTCGCCTTGGCTTCCCAAAGTGCTGAGATTACAGGCTTGAGCCACCCTAATTTTCTTTTTATCTTTAATTATTTAAAAAATCTAACTGATGAAAATTTTCTGAATAAGTCAAAATTTGATTTTTTTATAATAGTAATGATGATGATGACTTCTGTGGGGAGAAGAATTGCTTTCATCCTAGTGGTTTATCAAACTAGGATGGACAACAGAGCTTTTTCGTTTACCAGTAGGTTCTTACTAAGTATTTATCAGTATAATATTGTTCTGTAAACTCTTATTTTAATATTCGTTATTTCTCTAGCTCATTCTGATTTCCTCTGTCTCATCCTATTTGCCTTGCTATTGTTTAGTTTTAAAATGCAATTTAAAAAGCTACGGAAAACAAAATATCCAGAAAAATGGCCTTCTGGACAATTACTATCTATTATAACAGTGCAGGCCAGCAAGGCCTAGTTCATTGAGCCTGCTAGCAACCAGTGATATGCACATCCACCAATTTCCTAGCTGCCTCTGCTCTGCCTGACTAGCATGCAACCATAGCTTAAGGGCTACATTTTAAAAATTTCACTTTTTTTCTGTTCTTTGCAATTTTACTTACATAAAAATGTATCTAATGGTTGGTCAATCAGCAGCATACAAAATTTTATGACAGCAACTTCCTGCACATCCAGAAAAGGGAATCCAAGACATGAAAAATGTCTCTTAAAGCTTCCTACTATTTTGTTGCATTCATAGAAATCAAAGCAGCAGAGGACAGTAACCATAAAGAATATTTACTTATGCTAATTTCACCTTAAGAAAGTATGTTATCACTATCTGATTAAATAGAAATGAATCAGAGGTAACTGATAAACAAGAAAATAACCCCCCTGGAGAAGGTAATATGTTTGTGCTCTTGATAAAGGAAATTATAACACCATTGGGCTCAGACAGATTAATGAATAGGCACTGTTTAGCTAAGTAAGAGTCTACTGTAAAGAAAATACAACGTCATTACGATAACATGCTGTCACAGTATGAAGCAGAAAAATTAAAATTATATTTTTAGGAAAGAGGGAGGTATTTAAGATTTAATACATTCTAATACATTCACTTTCCTTAGCACCAAGTTCAAACTAAAAGGGCAGCAAACATTACATGAATTGCATAATATCAGATTATATACAGGATGTTTGACTCAATGCTGTCTAGAAAGTCTTGAGAGTATAAAAGACTAATTTAAAAGTTATGTTTTAATTAAAGACTAGGGCTCAGAATTTTACTGTGATTTTAATCAGTGCAAAATGATGATCAAAAACTTTGTGAATACATTTATACTTTATGTAATCTAAGCAATGATGTGTGTTGACCACCTGGATTACAGCTACAATCACATCATCCAATTTCTACTGCCTGTGTATTCCGTTTCACAGAACTGTGAAAATGTAACTACTGTGAGGTCAATATTTAGAAATGATCTGGAAGAGGTAGTGCATTGTGAAATCTTCAATATGACCATAAAACTAATGTTGCATCAACATAAAAATGTTCATATTCACCAAGAGGCAGAACAATAGTCACTAACTTTTCAGAACACCTCTTAGACAATTCACTTTAATTCAATTTAACAAACACATTGAGCACTGAATATATGTCTATTATACCAGATACCAGGAATGCAAAGATGAATAATCTAAGAGCTCTGTCCTCCATGGAATTTAGAACAAAGAAAACAGATACAATATATGGTATTATAATACAGTTTTAAAAAGCTGTATGAGAATACATAAAAGGGAATAATGAATTCTATCAGATTTACACATATGCAAACCTTCCTGGTTAAATGTTCCTATTTTGTTATTTTTTTCTTTCAGCATTACCGTTCTGTATGCCACCTTAAAATCTTTTGTGGAATATGAGAAAGTATATACATAACAAATGTGAGCAATCTGCTATAGTGGGGTTAAGTAGGAGTAGAGGAGTAGAAGGCTTTAATGTTTGAGCTGGGTCCGCCCAGAAGAGAAGCTTATAAAGAAAAAGAACACACACATACCCAGACACACCCCAGAGGCATGCAACACAGGGTGTGTCTGAGTATTGAAATGTGACCCGGAATCACCACAGCACAGTGTAGGTGCACAGGCATACACATCCAGCCCCAAACTGGAAAGGCGTGCTGGAGTCTGGTCATGAAAGACCTGCTGTGCCATGACATGCCACGCCAGGATGTGCTGATACTTTTCTGTATACAAATTATACATATAATTTGTGTGTGTATATATATATATACACACACACACACACACACACACAAATATATATATCTCAGAGGCTTTTAATCAGGAAAGCAGTATGATCAGATTTGTGATTTGAAAGGACACCCCTGGTAGCAATGTGAAGGACAAACTGGGGAGGATGACCAGAAGTAGGGAGAACAGTCTTTCTGTTCTGTATTAGTTTAGAAAAGGAATCATTAGGAGAAAAGATACAGGCGAAGAGAAATCAAAGAATAGGTGTGATATTTCCAAGGAAAAATGAACAGGATATGGAGTTTCACTGAATCTTGAGAATGAGAGAGAAGGGAGAACGAGAATGACTGAAGGCTTCAGCAGCATTAGCAGAACTGAGCACTGTAGAATACTCCCTAGATCCTGAGTGACCCTCTGCATAGTTAGTGCCCACTCCCACCTATGCTCTGCCTATATGGGCAGAATGAATGCCAGGCTGCAGTACCTCCCTAGACCTGATAAACTACAAGTGAATCCCATGAGAAAACACAAAGAAGCTTTTAGTTTGTAGCAAGGGATATGGAAGGTGTTTTTTCATTTTGCTCAGATCATATTGTTGCATTTATAGATCAATGAAAACCAGAGCTGAAAGTTATAAATTTGCAGTATTAAAAAATACCTGAGGGATGTATACCTGACAACTAATATGAGAGCTTTTAGAATGACCTCCCAATTGGTTTTCAAATCACTTTTAAAAAATATATATTAGTTTAATTTAAAGTCTACATCATTCTACTGTTAAAAACTACCCACTCATCTTAACGTGTACATTTAGCAGGCTACTTACAACATATACATTATGACGCCTATGCTCCAAATGTCACACTGCTGGCTATAGTCGTGGGCATTGATAACTTCAGGGGCTGACAAACAAGCAGAAATAAAATAATATTAATAATACAATAAATGTCTTTTAAATGCTTAAACACAAAGCATGAAAAATGTGCTGATGTGCTGTAATTTATTCCCCCATAGGGAAAAAAGAACCAACAGCAGATGTTAAATGAATAATGCACAGGCCTTAACAATTGATGTCACTGTATCCTCACTCCTATCATTTAGCTTCTAAGGGAACAATGGTGTAAACTGGATAACTAAATGCACTACTCTTTATTCCTTTAAATTGTTAAGAAATGGTTTTGCAAAGGTTGTGTAGTTATAGAAGACAACAATATCCCAGTCCCTTCCACATAATAGAATTAAATATATGCCTTAAGCGGATGTGACATGATGCAAGCCCAACATGTGGAAATCTAGATTCACAGAAAAACTAACACACATGGTTACAAATCACTTTGGTAAAATAATAGCAGTATCACTCCTATAACAGAATATAAACTATTTTCTGCATTTTCAAATAAGAAAGCCAAGACAAAGAGAGAACTCCTATATAACCAGATCAAAAAGCCAACTAGTCACAGGATATAGACTATACTAAATGTATATATATATATATATATATATATATATATATATATATATATATACACACACACACATATTTTTTTCTCGAGACAGGGTTTCACTCTATTGTCCAGGCTGGTGTGCAGTGGCATGATCATGGTTCACTGCAGCCTCAAACTACTAGGTTAAAGGTATCCTCCCACCGCAGCCTCCTGAGTTAGACTATAGGTGCACACCACCACACCTGGCAAATCATATTTTTTAAATTGTTTCAGAGATGGGGTCTTGCTGTGTTGCTCAGGTTGGTCCAAACTTCTGGCCTCAAGTGATCCTTCTGCCTCAGCCGCCTGAACAGCTGGGATTATAGGCATAAGACACGATGCTGAGCCTGGCTGCCTTTTTAAAATGTCACAAATGACATTGCAGAAACATGTCTATTGTACCTCTACAGCTAGGAATCAGATACATTGCTTTAAGAAAAAAATTTTACAAAGTTGTAAGCATAAAAACAAAACATATGTATATATTTCAATAGAACTTTAAAATTTACAAAGTGTTTTTGCCTAAATTATTATTTGTATAAAGGATGTTAAGAATTCTGTGAAGTAGGTATGTGAGCATTTGACTCCCTTTGCCAATGAGGAAACTAACGTTCAGATATATTAAGTGTATATAACTTACCTAAAGTTATACAGCTACAGAGTGTCTCATATGGAAAAGGTATTATTTTAGAAAACAGTTTCAATCTCTTCTACCTACACATACCTACACCTACACCTACACCTACACACACACATACACACACAATCTTTTATAATAGTAAAAGCAGGCCTGGCACGATGGCTTATGCCTGTAATCCCAGCACTTTGAGAGGGCAAAGCAGGTAGATCACCTGAGTTCGGGAGTTCAAGACAAGCCTGACAAACATGGAGAAACCCCATCTCTACTACAAATACAAACAATGAGCCTGGTATGATGCTGCATGCCTGTAATCCCAGCTACTCGGAAGGCTGAGGCAGGAGAATAGCTTGAACCCGGGAGGCAGAGGTTGTGGTGAGCTGAGATCAGGCCATTGCACTCCAGCCTGGGCAACAAGAGTGAATGAAACTCCGTCTAAAAAAAAAGTAATAATAATAAAAGCAAATGAAATTTCATTTCCTCCTTTTTCCTCAGCTTAGTGTTAAAGAAATAAAAGCCAACAAAAAGGTCTCAAAAGATTAAACAGAAGAAAGAATGAGAAAAGGTAAAGTGCAGATCACTAACACTGAGCAATCTGTCTCCAAATGATTGAAAATTAAGTGATATTTTCCTTCAAGCTGTTATTTGTATTCGTTAACTCTATTTAAAATCTTTAAATATTGAATCTTTAAAGTTCCAGTTGCTCTTTGGCCACATGTCTGTGAAAGGGCAAATCCTGTGACTAGATTCAATGAAGGATTTCCACACTGGTGCAACACACAGCATGGGACAGGAATCCCTGGTCCTTGCTCTTTCAGAGTCACCTTAATTATCAGGGGCATTTCAATTTGCACTGTTATCCCAGCCCTCATAGGGATGTAGAGGCCAGAGTAACTGCCAAGAAGCCATTTAGGAAGTCAGCAAAGCTCCACAAACCATCTGTCTTCTCTCTTGTTCTCTCACTTGTTATCAGTGTAGACAACTAATAAGGAGGCACAAAACTCAGGGTGCTTGAATATATTTTCCCCATGTAAACTACAGACCAGCTATCTTTTGCCAACAGGGGGATATGAACAGAATCTAAAGTAGTCTTTTCCCAAATAAGATAAAATAATTTCAAAACTTTATGCATCAAGTAGACAAAAACGCAATGAACTAGACATACTCTTCAGCAACAAAAATGAATAAACCACTGATACAACAACATGGATAAGTCTTAAAAGCATGATGTAAGACAAAAGAAGACAGACACAAAAGAGTATGTACTGCATGATTCAGTTTATATCAACTTCTAGACAAGCAGAACTGAGCTGTGGTGATAGAAATCATCAGCGGTTATGGGTGGGGGACTGACTGAAAGGGACACAGAGGAACTTTCTGGGGTAATAGAACTGCTCTATATCTTGACTGGGGTGATGATTACACAAGCATTTGTCAAAACTTAAAATTTGTGTATCATATTGCAAGTAAATTATATTCCTAAAAAGTTGATTTTTAAAAAAAATCTACTAAAACTACAAACAGAATATGTCAAAGACCTATCTTGGTGAATGATTCTCTTAGAGATTGACAGAAGTGGCAAGCAAAAATAAGTCAACAATATGGAAGATCTGAATCACAAAAATAGCACATTTGATTTAATAAGCACACACAGAAATGTTTATGCTCAACAAACCAGGTATACATACATATTTTTAAAATATCCAATGCATCATTTGCAAAAATTGATCATGAGTTCAGTCACAAAGAAAATTCCTAAAAGTCGAAAACCTCTAAGACGCAATCACCTACCGCAAGAAAGAAAACCAGACAAATCAAAAGGCTAGGACAACTAACATGCATTCGCATGAGTTTCAAACACATCTCAACCACCTGGAAAAACTCTAAAAACACTTCTAAATAATTTTTCAATTGAGGAAAGAAGACTAAAATTATAGTATTTTAAGAGATGAATCACATTTAGAACACTGTATGGCAAAAAAAAAAAAAAAAAGTCAAGGTATTCAGAGGAAAATATACCGCTGTAAATGCATTTCATAGAAAATAAGAAGCCTGATAATAAATATATATTCAACTTAGGACATTATAATAAAAAACAAACAACCAGCCATAGTGACTCATCCCCATAATCTTAGCAATTTGGGAGGCCAAGGCAGGAGAATCGCTTGAATCCAGGAGTTTGAGACTAGCCAGGGAAACATAGTGAGACCTCATCTCTAATAAAATTTAAAAAAGAAAAAAGTTATCTGCTGTCTCTTAAAAAATAAACAAAATTTAATTAGCCAGGTGTAGTGGCATACACCTGTGGTCCTAGCTACTTGGGAGGCTGATGTAGGAGGATCACTTGAGCCCAGAAGGTCAGGCTGCAGTGAACCAAGATTATGGCACTGCACTCTAGCCTGGGCATCAGAGCATGATTCTGTCTCAAAACAAAAATTCATTTTAAGTCTACTAACTTACCCATATAGATGGGAGTCCCACATGTGGCCTGCAGCATGGCTTCCCTCCTGCTTTGCTTCTTCACCGCTAAACCAAAATCAGTCACCTAAGAGAAGATATTCAGTCACCTGTCTTCCTGGCCTAGAGCTCACTCATTCTGAAGATAAGACTTTCAGTACCTTGTACCTGCACTGAATTCTGGAGTTCCTGGGGTTGGGATGACTTTAATTGAATCATTAATAAACATTTTGCTTTTCCTTCCCCACCCACCTCTCTGTATAGAGAAGAAACTGGGTAAAGAGAAGCTTGCATTCTCAAATCTTGAGAGAATACTGTGATTTAACTGTCCTTGCCTTCCAATTACATTCACCAGTCTAATATCGGAAGCAGTATTTGAAAGAAGGCATTTAAACTTTTTTTCAGATTAAAAAAAGGTTTTTTTTAAAAAAGTTCTTTCATTGTAAAATACATTTTGGGTTTAACATATTATCTATGTTTTTGATAATCAAGTTATGTTCCAGTTTAAAGCACTGTTGTAAATGCAAATCATTATCCCTGTCACAGCACTTACTGAAACTTCCTTTTTTAATAATTATTTATAATTGGTAAATAGTATATTTTCTTTACTATTATTTCCTTTGTGTTTCTAGTGTATACTAATTAAAACAATTACTACACTATTAAAAACTACAACAAACATATTAACAGGAAAAAATCACAACAAGAAAGTATTAACTACAAATACCCTGGTGGCCTAGTGCTGCAACTGTAATCTCTCTGTTCAGTTCTAAATCTTGCTCATTAAACATTTAGGTATTAAATATTCAGTATGTGCCTTTGGAATTATCTCCCAAGTTGGAAAACCTTGGACTGAGAGCAGAACAATAGACACATTTATTGATTAAGTAACCAAATATAGGCTCTTGGTCCAGAGACAATGATTACAAAGTTTCCAGTGGCTTATAGAGTAAGAAAATGCTTCTATTTACATGTGATATTACTATTTTTCTAAATAGATCAATCAATTTCACCATTAGTTTTCATAAATATCTCACTTGGAGCATATGATACATATCTTTCTCTATGGAAAATCCATCCAGACACATGAAATATACAAAGTTTCACAGTCCAACTTAGTTCTTTGGAGAGCATCTATTCCTTCCTTCATCAAATGTTAAGTGAACACATATTATGTTCCAGGCACTACTTCAGGTACTAAGTAAATAAGACATGCACAATTCCTGCCTTCATAGAGTTTACAATGGAACTGTTGATGAACATTTACTTGGGTAAACCAACAATGCTCTTAAACCTATTTCTACATAGGACTTAGCTTGGGCAACAGAGTGAGTTACAGACAACATTTTATTCCTAAATTAACACATTTATATATTTTGAAAGCAGCCACTATAATGGTGCTAAATAATGTATCCTATCATTTATTTGGCATTAGGGAACACTTAATTTAAATAAAATCTTCAAGAATAAACACTTGGCACATTAATTATACTTAGGACATAAATATTAATACACAGGAAAATTTTCAATAAGAAATATAGACTGTAGAATTAATTTGTTATCAAAAGCACAGGTAAGGTGTGCTTTTCTCGAAATCTGTAACACATTTACATCAAATTACCAGGCATAATTTTGAAATTAATTGTAATTCAGAGCATCTGTTTGCTTGCTATTAACTAATGATTTATAATTATTCAAATGAATGTGTACTTTAAAAACCCATTCAATAGCTCCACTTAACTTGCAAAATTATTCTTGTCAGTTACAACCTCTTATGAAATTTTTATTTTTTAGCAAAAGCCACTTATTTTCCGGCTTCTCAAAAGCCAGCAACATGTGTCTAAAAAAGAGGATGTACTTTGCCATTTTGCTATCAAACTGTTTATAGGCAAATATGTAGCACCATTGCTAATCTTACCTTTATGTTCAAGTTTATTTCGTTGTTATCATCAATAAGGCTGCTTTTAACCAATATGTTTTCCAGCTTCAAATCTCTGTGTGCAATATCTACCAAGAAAAGAAACAACAAATCAAATGAAATGAATAATGGAAAAACAGGAGAGACACATATAGAATAAATATATTTGACAAATTAATATCTACTGTTGAAAAATTTGAGGGCCAAGCATAATCTGTCCTGTCCTATTCTCTTATTTATAAACCCTTTCCCTGCATTTCTAACCTTAAGGAGCCATTTTCTTTGACTCCCTCACCTCTACCCATTTCCCTGTGGTCCCAACCGGCTGCTCTTCATGATGAGTGGCCTGGGGAGTGAAGGAGAATCCTATCCATGCTTAGGTATTCCCAGGAGAAGGGAGATCATCTTAGACACAAACCCAGCCAGGTTTCCCATATTCTTAGGTCTTTAAATAGAGGACCACTTCTTTACTTCTATGTATATGTTACTGTCAACATAAACATTTTAACACACTGTAACTTGGCTACATATATATAAACTATAGTTATTTCGGTATATTTTTCTATAACATCAACACACATTTTTCTACTCTTTATGTATTAAAATAAAAACCAAACAAACAAAAACCCTTGAGACACAAAATCTCCAGCTGAACATGTCAGAGCTCAGGTACAATTTTTATGTACATACAAATAACCATGTACCAAACACTTCCTTTGCAAATAATTAATTCAGTTCATATCCATTGCAATCATTTCCCTAGACTTAAAAAGTTATACACATAATTGCTAGAGGAATATATTGAATGAGTCCTGAACTGGCAATTATACCTAATCATTTATAGCTCTGTTACACAATTCCCAGGCTTTGTTTTTGGAATTTTTATTGTTTCAATTGCTCATCTTGTCCCTTTGAACATAAATATCACACGGCCTTAACAAATATATCATTACGTTGTGATCCTTGGCAGGGCAGATCTTCCTGTTGCCTCCATTGCTCTTCTTTTTCATTGTTGTCTTGACTATTTTTACCCATTTGAGAATAATCTTATCAAGTTCCATGAAAAATGCCGCTAAGATTTTGTTTGGAATTATACTGAATTTATAGCTTTTTAGGGAAGGACTGACAATAGCATAATATTAAGCCCTTGAAAAAATTGTTTCCCTCTGCCTGGAAAGCATGCCTTTTTTATTTTTTTTCTGAGTTTGTATTCCTCAGATCAAATATTGCTCCTTCAGCAAATTCTTTCCTGACTTTCCAAGCCAAACGAGGCACTTTGACTCCTGTAATCCTTGCGCTTTATGTGGCTTTCCATTAGAGAGATTATCATGTTGAATTACAATGTGTTTTCAATACGCAATCTCCCACAGCCCGAGTTCCTTGGAGGGCAGGGGCCTTGTCTTTTCATCTTTGTAATCTAGGATCAATTACAATGCAGTAGGTGCTCAGGAACTATCTGATGAATGAACCACTGGGTTACAGTACCAGCTCTGTCACACCAAACCATGTCACTGCACCTCTCTGGAACAAAGTTTTTGTTCATCTGCAAAATGAGATGGTTCTAACGTCACATGTAAGCCAAACTAACCTTGAAGGAAAAATAAAAATGGGGGAGGAGCAGCAGCAGTAACACCTAAGAATAGTAAAGTAATTTGAATAATTTTTAAATGTAGTTTTTAAAGTACCGTGAAACCACTCTGTATGATACTATAATGGTGGACAAATGACATTATGTATTTGTCAAAACCAACACCAAGAGTGAATTCTAATATAAGCTGTGAACTTTGGGTGACAATGATATGTCAACGCAAAATATCACTCTAGTGGGGAATTCTGGTAGTGGGGCAGGCAGGTTGTGTATATGTGGGAGCAGGGAAGTATACAGAAAATCTCTCTACCTTCTGCTCAGTTTTGCTGTGAATCTAAAACTGTTCTAAAAACAAAGTCTAAAAAGACAAAAAAAATGCCTAGAACATACAGATTTTAATGTTATGATTAATATATTTTTGGAAACTTCACCTTTACCATTGATTTATCTACTTTTGATGTTATAACATTAGCTGCTTTTCAAACTGTTGATTAAAAAGTTTATAATTTCATCTTCATTCATATATGATGTATTGTATACCTGCCTTGTTTCTAATTAAAATGTACCTACAAAGAAAGTTAAAAAGAAAACAATTTTTTAACAATTAAATCTTCTATATTAGCAGGTGTCTTTATATGACTATGAATCTGGAATACAATTACCCTTAAACAAAAGTGACATCAGTATTCATGGAGTCAATGAGCTGAATAACCCCCTTCTTACCATTATTGTGAAGATACGCTATAGCTGATGCAAGACTTTGAATGATCCACCTTGTCTCATTCTCTGAGAAATGCCCTTTTCTATCCAGAATTTTTTTGAGTTCTCCATCCTCACAAAGCTCCATCACAAGGTACATTTTCTGACATTATATATATAAAAGAGAGAGCAAATTATATATCTGGGGATCTTTAAAATGTTATATATCACATATACAATCACAGTCATAATCATGAATTTATTCATTCAAAAATATTATCTATCATGTGCAAGATACCCAAGAAGCTCATAAATAGTTATCATTATACTATCATGGGATAAGTGCTAATGGCTCCAAATGCCACAGAGTTACAGAAGAGGGGCAGCCTCTGTCTGAAGAACGACCCTTGAGAAGAAATATTAAGGCGAGGTCTGGATGTCTGAATACGAATTTATAGATAGAGAATGTGGGAAGGAATAGTCAGGGTACACGATATTTGCAAAGACTCCACAGCCTCAAATAGCTGTTAAAAGAATAATCTCAGTGTTAATAACATGGAGAGCTTCGTAGGGTGGAGAAGAATGATATGGTGAGGGGTGAGGCTAGAAAGAACAGGTTGGGGCCAGGTTGTAAAGAGTCCTGGATATCATGACAAGGAGTATGAATTTTTTTCCCATATGCAATAAGGAGCCACTGAAGATTTTTAAGCTAGTGCTGGGGTTGTAGGGGGGACAAGTATATGATATTACCAACTTTGCATTTCTAAATGAACACACCAGCAGTAATGTAGAACAGGGCTCAACAAACCTTCACTATAGAGACCAGACCCAATAGTAAATATTGGTTTTGCAGGCCATGGAGTCTCTTTCACAGATACTCAGTGCTATTCTGTAGCATGAGAAAGCAGCCATAAACAACACAATAGACTTGAAGATTTACTTATAGACTTGAAAATTTCAGGTTTATAGAATTTTCACCTCATAAAATATTACTCTTTTACATTTTTGCAACCATTTGGAAATGTAGAAACTTAGCTTATGGGCTATACAAAAACAGGCAGCAGGCCCAATGTGGCTCTCAGACTGTAGTATGCTGACTTTTGTTTATAGAGGATAGATGTGAGGCATAGAATACAGACGAGGAGGGAAATGAAAAGATTTTAAAATGCCAACAAGAAAGAAACAGTGGGACTTAGTGACTAATTGGGTATGAGTGATAAGAAGTCATGGCTGAAATGCCTCTTCCATATTTGCTGTTCAGGTAGAGGCATGTTAAGATCACTTGTGGTATTCTGACAGCCAAGTCATCTATTGAGTAAAAAAGATTCACAGACAACTAAGAAGCAAGTCTTTTTCATTCATATTTCTATTCAAACATAGAGTATCCTTTATGTCTCCATTATAACCTACGCTGCTAGATTTCTGTTGTTCTTAAGATCTTGGGGTCTGATTTGTTCTTATGAGCACTGTTAGTACAACTTCTGTGTTCAATCAGTAAGTATGAAAACAGGAAGTGAAGGCTAACATCCTTTCTTCCTATAGCGCAACTCAGATTCACTGTATCTCAGGCAGTTTTAGAATTTCAAAAGTAACTGTAAAATCTAACACAAAAATAAGCTTTTGAACTGGACTGTATTTTTTCCATTGACAAGACTGTACAGTTCACTGGTACATAAAAATGATAAGCAAACTATTTGGAAGGAAAAGTTGGATTAGCAGTACTTGAAATATAAATTGATGTCAATTTTAAATATGTAAATTGGTCAAAGTTATATAAATGTAAGTTATAGCCTTTTTATACTTATTAGAAATAACTGTGTAGACCTGGAGAACATTTAGACTCACAAGAAACCATAGCATAGTCAGTCTGGATGATCAGTACCATGGCACAACCAATCAGGTAGCAATTTCTATTAATACTTAAGATGGCTTCAATAGAAGGTCTACATTCTTGTGTGTGTTTATGAGGCAGAGGGGGACAGATCTGACCAACATGAATCAAGGGCAAGCAATACATTTGAAAAATAACAGATGATGGTTTCCTTTGCCTTCAAACTTATTCTAGATTTAGACTCCTGCTTGTGCCCGTAATGGAGTAACAAAGACCAGACTTATCTTCCCACCTGAAACAACTTACTGAACTATATATATAAAACAATAATTTTTAGACATAAACATCAAGCAGCATAAGGTAGTTATCCCTGAGAGAGAGGAAACAAATGAGGCAGTCCCCATGAGTACTCTGGCTTGCTGTCTGGAGAGTTTGTCCAGACCACAGAACAGGGAGAGGGAATCTAAGCAGAGCCTAGCAGCCTCCATGAGTAGAGGGCATGGAGCTGGAAGCCCAGGAAGGCCAAGACAATTAAAGTTCACAGGACAGAGCATCAAAGAGGAGAATGCCATATGCAGAGAAATCTTCAGAGACTTGCAGAGGATCCCTCAATTCTTCAGGAGAATACAAATCAACACATGTATGAGGAAACTACCCAAAGCTGGGGCAAAAATATGCAAAAGGGGCGAGGAAACAGTTGTGTTCCCATGGGCCAGAGGTAAACCTCGTATTCATGGAGCACTGAGGAGAGCGCTCAGTAACAGGAAAAAACTAGACCTAGACTAAAGGTTGCTCTGGTGCCACCTAATGAAGCTTAAAGGAAGCATCAAAAGTATCAAACTCTTTCCAAGTGACTTAACTATATCCTAGAATAAAGCTTAAGAATAATCATTAGAATATAAAAGTATCTAGCATCCAACAAGGTAAAATTCAAAACATTTGGCATCTGGCCAAAAATTAATAGGCATGTAAAGTAGCAGGAAAATAGAACCCATAATGAAGGGGAGGGAAATAATGAATTGAAACTGACCTAGAAATGACACCCATGATAAAATTAGTAAAAAAGGACATTAAAACAGTTACTATAACTCCATTCAAGAAGAATGAGGGAAGACTCAGCATGTTAAGTAGACACATGGAATATATATATATATATATAGTTTTAAAAACCAAATCAAACTTCTACCAGAAGAGATTAACATCACATACAATGCTATAGACAGATATTACTGAATCTGAAGACAACAACAGAAGCTATACAAAATGAAACAAGGAGAGGAAAAAATGATTTTAAAAAATGAACAGAGCCATCAGTAGACTGTAGACAATATCAGGCAATCTAACTCGGAGACTACAAAGTGAGATGAGGGGAAGGCAAATACAAATTTGAGGAAATAATAGCCCCCAATTTCCTAAATTTGATGAAAACCATAAACTCACAAGTCCATGAACCCCAAACAAAAAAAAATGAAGAAAATGATATCAGGTACATTATAATCAAATTGTTTAAAACTGATGATAATAAACATAATTATTATTTTTTTAAAAACTTTTTTTAAGACAGGGTTTCACCATGTTGCCCAGGCTGGTCACAAACTCCTGAGCTCAGGCAATCCACCCACCTTGGCCTCCCAAAATGTTGGGATTACAGGCTTGAGCCACCGTGCCCAGCCTAAACAAAACTGTTCTAAGAAGATTTGGGATAAAAGAAATCATAACTCTAAGACTGAAAAGGGCAAAGAAGACTTTTGGCATCAGTGCCATATACTGCTCTCATAAAGGATAACTGTGGTCTTAAAGAATCAAGCGTAATGCACAACCCGAATTGACTATTACTACCTTAGAGACTGGCCTAGGAGACAAAGAACAACAGCTAATATTTAATGATACAGATGCTTTATATCACTTGTCTCATTTAATCCTTCAACAACAACCAAGTGAGGTCAACACTATTATTAAGCCCATTTTACAGATGAGGAAACTGAGATATGGACAACCTGAGTAACCTGTCCATGTTCTCATGGATAATAAAGAAGTAGTAGAGCCAGGATTCAAATGCACAGGCAATATGATCCCAGAGTCCACATGCCTAATCTGCACATTATTCTTCTAAGAGAAAACACCCAAGCCCACAAGCATTAAACAATCTGGAGTCAGAATGGCAAATAATCCAGGCTTTTGAATGACTCTAAATACAAATTACAGGTAAAGAGAAGAATGACAACATCTAGGGAAATATGAAGATAAAACACATTTGAAAGACATAGATGAACAAATATCTTCTACACACTGTAGTGATAGATATACCCATAGCAATTTGATTATGTAGTTAACTTTGCAAAATTATGAAAATATTCCAATAAACTTTAATGAGAAACTAAGGATCAAAGCAAAAGGAAAGGCACCTCTAAGAAAGTTCTGGTCACTATTTGGTTGTGTATGAAGTTGTTGTAATTTTATAAACATTTGTTTTCAGCATGCCACCCAGAACATATTACTGAAGACATCAATCTAGTCATCAGATGTCTAATTATACAATCAATAATAAAAGTCCTCCAGAATGTTCTCATCAATCTCCAGTGACAGACTCATGCCAAGGACATGAGCAACTGTGCCCCAAAGGGATTACTTCAGAATGGAATGATATTCATTTTGTAATAATAACAACTTTCAAAATGCAGCATCTAATACAGCTTTACCTTTGGCGTTTCAAATACTTGTTCCAGATGTATGATGTGTTCATGTTTTACACTTTTCAGAATGTTCACCTCTCGTTCAAGTAACTTCACAGCAGAGCTTCCAGCCTTAATCAATGAAGAAACATAGATTTCACGTAATGAAAATCACTCCTACATTCCTCGATACAAAAGTCAGTTGTTTTATATGTTTTCCTACTTTTTTCTATAACTTCGTATTTGAAGTGAATTCCTACATTTTTGAGACATTTCTTTTTCAAATGATATTATGCCATTTATTTCCATGATCAGATTAAATTATGCCCCTTCATTCCTTTTTCTAATTTTAAGCCACATATAATTTGGCCTCAAACCACAGCTGTTTCTTGAATTGTTTCTATAACTTAGCTACAACATGGTATCTGTCCCCTCACAAAATTAATAAAATTACTCTAATTTTTAATAAGCTTTTTGATATTTCCTTTAAAAATATGTTGATCCCTTGATGTCAGCATAATAAAAACAAAATCTACTTCCAATTACATAAGTTGGGGGAGATAAAAAGTTTTTCTTTTGTTTTGTTGTCTTGTTTTGATTTGATTATACAGATACACATACACACAGATATATATGAAAAATAATAGGCAATGAGATTCTACACTTGGCTCAAGGGTGGGGGAGAGAGAGAAAGAATTGCAAATAGGTATGCTATTATAAACCCCAAAACTGAGCCCCTAGCCCTACCTAACATCAAAGAAGCAAAGGAAATGACATCTCAGGTAGCACTTAGGATGCCTACCTGTAGTTCTGAAGAATTCTAAAGATTTATAGAAAGGCTCATAATCCCTTCTTTAAGACTGCCATGTTACCTTACTAATCTTTAGGGAGAAATGGTATGTAATTTGCTACAGTTTCTTTTAAATAATATATAGAGCCTACCATTTCATTTTTTAAATGTGATATTTATCATCACAAATCCAAGGGGGGAACACCATAATGTTGTTTGGTTTTTCCCAGGCACAGAAATGAAAAAGGATGATGAAATGATCACGTGTAAAGTCTGAGGTCTCAGATTTTACCTTCAAGAGAAGCTCACTCATTCCCCAGTTCAAGAGGAAATCTAGTGAGGAGTACAGCAGATACAAGAGTATAGTAGTAGACAGCTGGAGAAAAAAGTGGTTCAACATGAAAGAGCAGGCAGGATGAATAAACAGAATTAGCTAACAGTGAAGAAATGAAAGGAGAGAACAGGAGAAAAGTGTATCAAAACAACATCGCGAGAGAGTTTCAGCACTCCTAGCTAGGGTATCTCTAGCCCACAGCCCTACGCTTACAAATACTGAGAACCAGCCCTTATCTTCAGCATACTCTGGTAAAATTTACCTATTTTTTGCTATATTGGTTATGTTATTCCTTCCATTTGTTTTTTGCAGTCAGCACTTGGCTACTTGAGTTCAGAAACAAGTCCCTTTACAGGAGGTTAGAAAAATGCCACGCTTCTCCAGATCAGCCCAGGCCTGGGACCTCAGAGTGAGAAACAGCTTGTGTTCATGTGAAAAGTTGTACCGCCCACACCCACCCTGCACTAACACTGAGACCTCAGTAGGATGCTGCTAATGAGCCTTACCTTTTCTTTGTTCACTTTTTTAATTGCCCACTTTGTTTCTGTTTCCTTGTCTGCAGCTTCGATGACCATTCCAAAGCTCCCTTTTCCCAATATTCTTCCAAAGGTATAGATTTCCTAGAGAAAAAGAAAAAGAGTTCTTTGTCTCTCTGTGCCATCATCAGATATTAAAAATGAATATATAATATTGACAGATACTCACCCAAGGGAAGAGAGATTCTGCTCCAAAATAAAATCAAATAGAAGACACTACATATTTGCTTCAATACTAATTAACACATCTTAATTAACCAAAAATAAGTGTTGATGAATTTCATTAACTGTCCTTTGGAGGAAAACCATAAAAATCCTAATGGCAAAATGTGGAAAAACTCAAAAGTATAAAAATGAATCTCTTTCAGACTATATTAATAAAATATCTTCATAAGAAAAAGGACAAATAGAGTATTAATACATATATACATAAGTTTGTATATATATAAAATACACCCAACGAAAAAAATCCCAAATCTCTGAGAGCTATACTACCAATCAACACTATTAACTATTGAACAAATGTTTCCTTATTTAACAATTAATGCTTTTCCTTTATCTTCATTGTTAAAAACCACTTTTGTTGTTTTACTCCTTTTGCTTTAGAAAAGGCAATGTGTTTTTCATAGGGTTTTTGAAGGGTTTGAAGGGTTCAAAAAATCAATAAATCCAAGAGCTGGTTTTTTGAAAAGATCAACAAAATAGACCACTAGCCAGATTGATTAAAAAGAAAAGAGAGAACAACCAAATAGATGCAATAAAAAACGATAAAAAGGAACTCACCACAGATTCCACAGAAATTCAAGCCATCATCAGAGGATATTACAAACCACTCTATGCACATAAACTAGTAAACCTGGAAGAAACGGATAAATTCCTGGACACCCATGTCCTCCCAAGCCTAAACCAGGAGGAAGCCAAAACCATGAATAGACCAATAACAAGGTCTGAAGTTGAGGCAGCAATTAAGAGCCTACCACACAAAAAAAGCCCAGGTCCAGACGGGTTCACAGCCGAATTCTACCAAACACACAAAGAGGAGCTGGTACCACTCCTTCTGAAACTATTCCAAATGATCCAAAGAGAGGGAATCCTTCCCAGATCATTTTATGAGACCAACATCATCCTGATACCAAAACCCGGCAGAGACCCAACAAGAAAAGAAAACTTCAGGCCAATATCCATGACGAACATAGATGCAAAAATCTTCAATGAAATATTGGCAAGCCGATTGCAACAGCACATCAAAAAGCTTATCCATCATGATCAAGTAGGATTCATCCCGGGGATGCAAGGCTGGTTCAACAAACACAAGTCTATAAATGTAATTCAGCACATAAACAGAACCAAAAACAAAAACCACATGATTATCTCAATTGACACAGAGAAGGCCTTTGACAAAATTCATCAGCCCTTATGCTAAAAACCCTCAATAAACTCGGTATTGACGGAACATATCTCAAAACAATAAAAGTTTATGTTTTGACATATGTTTTGACTATTTATGACAAACCAACAGCCAATATCATACTCAATGGGCAAAAACTGGAAGCATTCCCTTTGAAATCCGGCACTAGACAAGGATGCCCTCTCTCACCACTTCTATTCAATATAGTACTGGAAGTTCTAGCCAGAGCAATCAGGCAAGAAAAATAAAGGGTATTCAAATAGGAAAGGAGGAAGCCAAGTTGTCTCAATTTGCAGACAACATGATAGTATATCTAGAAGACCCCATCGCATCAGCCCAAAAACTCCTGAAACTGATAAGCAACTTCAGCAAAGTCTCAGGACATAAAATCAACATGCAAAAATCACAAGCATTCCTATACACCAATAACAGACTTAAAGAGAGCCAAATCAAGAATGAACTGCTATTCACAATTGCTACAAAAAGAATAAAATACCTAGGAATACAACTTACAAGGAACGTAAGGGACGTCTTCGAGGAAAACTACAAACCACTGCTCAACAAAATAAGAGAGGACACACACAGATGAAGAAACATTCCATGTTCATGGTTAGGAAGAATCAATATCGTGAAAATGGCTACACTGCCCAAAGTAATTTACAGAATCAACACTATCCCCATCAAGCTACCATCAACTTTCTTCACAGAACTGGAAAAAAACACCTTGAACTTCATATGGAACCAAAAGAGAGCCCGCATAGCCAAGTCAATCCTAAGGAAAAAGAACACAGCAGGAGGCATCACACTACCAGACTTCAAACTGTACTACAAGGCTACAGTATTCAAAACAGCATGGTACTGGTACCAAAACAGAGATATAGACTAATGGAACAGAACAGAGGCATGGGAGGCAACACAGCATATCTACAACCATACAATCTTTGATAAACCTGACAAAAACAAGCAATGGGGAAAGGATTCCCTGTTTAATAAATGGTGTTGGGAAAACTGGCTAGCCATGAGTGGAAAGCAGAAACTGGACCCCTTCCTAACACCTTACACTAAAATTAACTCTAGATGGATTAAAGACTTAAACATAAGACCCAGCACCATAAAAACCCTAGAAGAAAATCTAGGCAAAACCATTCAGGACATAGGAGTAGGAAAGGACTTCATGACCAAAACACCAAAAGCATTGGCAACAAAAGCAAAAATAGACAAATGGGACCTAATCAAACTCCACAGCTTCTGCACGGCAAAAGAAACAGTCACTAGAGTGAATCAGCAACCAACAGAATAGGAAAAAATTTTTACAGTTTACCCATCTAACAAAGGGCTGATATCCAGAATTTACAAAGAACTCAAACAGATTTTCAGGAAAAAAACAAACATGCCCATCCAAAAATGGGAAAGGATATGAACAGACACTTTATAAAAGAAGACATACATGAGGCCAACAAACATATGAAAAAATGCTCATCATCACTGGTCATTAGAGAGATGCAAATCAAAACCACATTGAGATACCATCTCACGCCAGTTACAATGGCGATCATTAAAAAATCTGGAGACAACAGATGCTGGAGAGGATGTGGAGAAATAGGAACACTTTTACACTGCTGGTGGGAGTGTAAATTAGTTCAACCATTGTGGAAGACAGTGTGGCGATTCCTCAAGGCCTTAGAAATAGAAATTCCATTTGACCCAGCAATCCCGTCACTGGGTATATATCCAAAGGACTATAAATCGTTCTACTATAAGGACACATGCACACGAATGTTCATTGCAGCACTGTTTACAATAGCAAAGACCTAGAACCAACCCAAATGCCCATCGATGATAGACTGGACTGGGAAAATGTGGCACATATACGCCATGGAATATTGTGCAGCAGTCAAAAATGATGAGTTCGTGTCGTTTGTAGGGACATGGATGAATCTGGAGAACATCATTCTCAGCCAACGGACACAAGAACAGAAAATGAAACACCGTATATTCTCACTCATAGGTGGGTGATGAACAATGAGAACACATGGACACAGGGAAGGGAGTACTACACACTGGGGTCTATTGGGGAGAATAGGGGAGGGACAGCGTGGTGGGAGCTGGGGAGTGATAGCATGGGGAGAAATGCCAAATGTGGGTGAAGGGGTAGAAGGCAGCAAAACACACTGCCATGTGTGTACCTATGCAACTATCTTTCATGTTCTGCACATGTACCCCAAAACCTAAAATGCAATAAAAAATAAATAAATAATAAAAAATAAAAGTAAATAAATAAAATATAATAAAGAAAAGGCAATATGTGACAAAAATTTTAACCAGATCAGCACTGAGAAAAAAGTAACCACTACCCATAAAATCATCATCCAAACCAAGAAGCCATCCTCTTAGCATTTAACTTCTGCTTACAAAGAGAGAATTCACTGGTTTTGCCAACACCAGCATGTTGGTTTGCATTGTTAATAATAAACAGCTAACTCATTTACACTTTCATTTCTCATAAATTTGGTTTTGGGGGAGTCAGTCTCCCTGATCCAAATCAACTCCAGGGCATTAACAAGAGTTTCTGGACCCATCATCCATAGGAACAAGAACATGGGAGAGCAGCTGAACTAATGCCACTAGGTAATGCCCTGGTTGGGTCAGCTAGTCGAAGCCTTCCCTAGAAATGCCACTCTCTCTCTGTGTGTGACCACTTTCACATTCACCACGTGTATTAGTCCATTTTCACACTGCTGATAAAGACATACCCAAGACTGGGAAATATAAAAAAGAAAGGTTTATTGGACTTACAGTTCCACATGACTGGGGAGGCCTCACAATCATGGTAGAAGGCAAGAAGGAGCAAGTCACATCTTATGTGGATGGAAGCAGGCAAAGAGAGGGCTTGTGCAGAGAAACTCCCATTTTTAAAACCATCAGATCTTGTGAGACCCATTTACTATCACAAGAAGAACATGGGAAAGACCCACACCCATTATTCAATCATCTCCCACTGGGTCCCTCCCATGACACGTGGGAATTATGGGAGCTACAAGATGAGATTTGGGTAGGGACACAGAGTCAAACCTAGCATTCCACCTCTGGCCCCTCCCAAATCTCATATCTTCATATTTCAAAATCAATCATGCCTTCCCAACAGTCCCCCAAAGTCTTAAGTCATTTCAGCATTAATTCAAAAGTCCATAGTCCAAAGTCTCATCAGAGACAAGGTAAGTCTCTTCTGCCTATCAGCCTGTAAAATCATAAGCAAGTTAGTTACTTTCTAGATATAATGGGGGTATAGGCCTTGGGTAAATACAGCCATTCCAAATGGGAGAAATTGGCCAAAACAAAAAGGCAACAGGCCCAGTGTAAGTCCAAAATCCAGTGGGGCCGTCAAATCTTAAAGCTCCAAAATGATTTCCATGTCTGACATCCAAGTTACGCTGATGCAAGGGTAGATTCCCATAGTCTTGGGCAGCTCTACCCCTGTGGCTTTGCAGGGTACAGCCTCCCTCCTGGTTGCTTTCACAGGCAGACATTTTGAATGCCTGCAGCCTTTCTAGGTGCACGGTGCAAGCTGTTGGTGGATCTACCATTCTGGGGTCTGGAGAATGGTGGCCCTCTTCTCAAAGCTCCACTAGGCAGTGCCCCAGTAGGGACTCTGTGTGGGGGCTCCCACCCCACACTT